GCTTTTTAAAATCTAGTTTTGGGAGCGCCCGGGTGGCTCAGTTGTTTAAGCATCTCCCTTCAGCTCAGGTCATGATCTCAGGGTCCTGGGATGGAGCCCTGCATCAGGCTCCCTGCTCGGCAGGGAATTTGCTTCTCCCTCTCTCTGCCTCTTCCCCATCTCCCTCTGTCCCTTCTCCTCTCCCCCTTCCTCCCTCTCCTCCCACTTGTTTTCTCTCTCTCTCTCCCTCAAATAAATACAATCTTTAAAAAAATAAAATAAAATCTAGTTTTCATAGCAGTTCTTAGCAGGAGAATAAATCTGATACCACCTACTCTGTCCTAGCTAGAAGCAGACATCTACCTTTAGTTTTCTGTTTTTCCTTCTTGATAAATGTTGCTTTGAGTTGGGAAGTCAATAGGTTCCCTGTGAGATTTTGGCTGGGGGAGGATTAGGGTGTGTGTAGACTACCATCCTTCTAGAGTAATTGCCTATTTAGGTGCTAGAGGGAATTAGGTATATTCTGTTCCTCTCTGGAAAGAACATGAAACCAGCCATCCTATCAGATCAGGGTTCTCTGTGCCCTGAAGGGCTCACATGTGAGGGAAAACTGTTGTTCTCAGTAGATAGCCCATTTCTTCCTTTTATCAAGTCTGTATCACAAAATAGAGGAATTTCAAACCAGAATTACAAAAATTAGAACATATTTTAAATGTTCATATGTAACAAATATGACCTTTTAAAAATACAAAACATGCCATTGTTTACATTTTATTATTTATTAGACACCTAGAAGAATAGTAAGGCTATTAATTAACAAGGCACTATCAGCACGGGGGTCCGGTAAAGGGCTGCGAGTTTAAAACTGTAAAAAAAACAACTTTTCCTCCATTCCCGTCTATGTGCCTTGTAAGTAGAGATTTGATCTCAGTGTGACATAATGTCCACGTTCTAAATGTGAATGCTGTACTGGGAAATGGGAGTCCCTGACCATGACAGGCTCTGACTGGGAGAACCGTGGATGTTAAGCAGAAAGACCTAACTGTGGACTTGCCCCTAGGCAAGAACACTGAGAGAAGAGGATGACAGTATATTAAAAAAAAAAAAAATCACTAGATTTAAAAGTGTTTTACTAGCTTGGGCTCACCTGGATGGCCCGTTTAACATCTGACTCTTGATTTTGGCTCAGCTCATGATCCCCGCGTAGTGGGTTTAACCTCTATGGGGTTGTTTCCTCCCAAAGTCACAAGAAACTGATGTCCCTCTCTCAGGTTTGCAAGGATGAGATGAAGCAATGGTACATGAAAGTACTTGGCAAAGGGTAGTGACTAATTTTAGAGACTATTTTCAAAGATGGTTTAAGATCATTTAGGACTTCAGGGATTGCTAAGCCTGTGTGAACACCTCTCCATTCTCTGCTCCACGTACGGGATACTCTTTGCTTTCGCAATGGAGGGCAAAAGTTTAACTCAGTAGTCCCATTGGGTGAGAATGGCTGTACATAATACATATGTGTAATTAGTTTTCATGAGGGTGAAATGATAAAGATCTAGAAGACTCTTTAGCATTATCTTGGCTTGATCTCTTCATTTTGCAGTGGAGGAAACTGAAGCCCAGGGGGTTGAAGGGCATTGCCCTAGGTATCCTCCTTGATGACTAGCAGAGCCATACTGACAAATGGGGGTCCAGACACCCAACTCCCCTCTTCTCCCACTGGGTCCACACTGATCATGGTTGCTTCGGAGGCCTAGGGTCCTCACTGGCCCTTTGTCTCTTCTGCCTCATCCTAACAGCCAAGGCAAGTCACCCGGCCAGCCCAGGTTCACGGCTGGGGAAACGGGGTCTACCCCCTGGTAGGAGAAGCTGCGATGTCACATTGCACCAGGCCTGGATACAGAACAGGGAGAAGAACTAAGAAAAACACAAAAGGCAAGTGTCTTCCATGGCCTGATCTTTGCTCTGTCCAAAAGTAGCCATGAGTGTCACACAAACTTTTCTTAAGTATAAGAAATAGGCATATCTTTGGACTTTGTAGGCATCTGTACACTGTGGAGAAGCAGTGGGTAGGCAGTTCTATACCTGAGTGCCCATTCCATGCAGGGTGCTGAGAGGAGAACGAGGCAGCAGTCTGCAGGAGTCAGTGATCTGGGCCTGTAGGCTCACAAGCAAGGTAAGGTACACATGGGGACAATCACAAGACAGCGAATGGCAGTGGACAGCGACTCAGTGTGGGCACAGGGGGTGGGAGTAGCTTGCTGATGGTCAGGACAGCAAAGCTTCCTTGAAAGACGTGAAGTTTATACGAGGCAGGGAAAGGCGCCTAGCACTTAACTAGCCACATAGAGGGTGGGGACAAGGTCTGCCAGGAGGGAAATGACAGGATAGAAAGTGTAACATCCGGGGCGAGCCTGCGTCACTGAGGGAAGGTGGATGGCATTCAAGGTGGAAAGACAGGGTTATGCCAGATAATAGAAAGCTTCCATCCAGGATGGCTGGAACCCACTGAAGGGGAGGAAATGCACCTACAAGCCTGTGAGGTGGAGCTGGAACAACTTCCAGGGCAGAGGAAACTGGGAGAAACCTCTCTCAGCCCACATGCTGGTGCGTTAAGGCCTGGGTACCTGGAACCTAAAAGGAAAAAAGCTAAGGCTGGGCTAGAGGGCAAATTTGGAACATTTATGTCCCTTGCATTCAGACACTCATGGCAAACTGCACTAAAATCTAACTTAGTGTTTAATGATTTTGAATAAATATGTGTAAAATTGAAGGTTCTTTTTACCCCAATGGTTATTTCCACTTTTACCCTAAATGCAAAAATATTGGTCACATGATAAGGAATCCAAATTTTTTTCAGCTTATTTTTTTTTTAAGCCCTGGAAAAAATTCTAGTGCAAAAGCAAATCAAATGTAGATACGAGGAAAGTTCATTTTTGAAAATGCTGTATTAGATACCATTTATTTGTAGCACTTAAAACTAATATTATTTAGACTCAGTATTTCAGTATTTATTACCTTGAACCTGCACTGTCCAGCATGTAAGCCACTAGTAAGTATATGAAATGTAGCCAGTCAAGTGTAAATTATATACCAGATTTCAAAAACAGTACAATAAAAGAATGTAAAATGCCTTTTTAATGATATTTATATTGATGGCTTATTGAAATGATGATTTGATAGTGTTAAATAAAATATATTGTTAAAATTAATTTTACCTATTTCTTTTTGTTTTTTAACATAACTATTAAAAAATGTAAAATTATACATGTGTTCACATTTGTGGCTCACATTATATTTCTACCGGGCAGTGCTATTTTAAAAGTTTCATTTGTCTAGAAATGTGGCCCATACCACAGTTAATAACATTAACAGGTGGGAGGGGTTTGCATGCACTGTGAAATGAAAAATTGTTCCATACATTTCTATTTTCTTCCAGGCTGAATCTGTGATTTAGTGACAAATCCTACAACTACCTTGAAGCACATGGTATATTACATGCTTTCAAGGACAGCCGTTTCTGTGATTATGATTTCTTTTCCCACAGGGGAGGGGATACAAAAGAAGTTTGCAATAAAAATTTCCATTCGTTAACAAGTTTTAATAATAAATACTTTAGGTTATCACTAAAGCATAATAAATAATGTGCCTGCATAATTTTAGCACCAATTTACAAAATCTACATGCAGCCAGCAGTAGACCCTTACTGAACAGGTGTGATGTTTTGTTCTCATTGCAGTTGTTTAATTAGGTCTCTTAAGTGTCTTTTAATCTTCAGCAGTCCCTTGCTGCTGTTGCTTGTTTCTCTTTTTCTGTGGCCTTGACTTTTTGAAGATTTGAAGTTGAGTGCCTTGTAGAATATTCTGCATGGTGTCCTTTTACTTGCTCCACACTCCCCTGAATTCCTGGAAAACTAAGATCGGGTCTAGAGAAGACTGATTACATTCAGGCCACACCGTTTAGTAAGAATAATGGTTGATATTGTGTACTTAGTATTGCATCATATTAGGAAGCACGTATGTCAAGTTTTTCTACAATTCATGATGTTAAACTGATCACGTGTTTAAAGTGGCAATTGCCAGGGGCACCTGGCTGGCTCAGTTGGTGGAGTGAGTGACTCTTGATCTCGGAGCTGTGAGTTTGAGTCCTGTGTTGGGTGCAGAGATTACTCAAATTAATTAACCAATTAATTTTTAAAAAGCAGTCATTGCCAGATTTTTCCATGGCAAAAGTATATGTTTCCATTTGCAATTAAAAGTAATCTTGTAGATGATACCAGTTTCGTAATAACTGTTCGCTTAATGGTTGTAGCATCTATTACCAAATCCTTGCTTGAACCAATTATTTCATTACAAGTTGCAAAATGGTGATTTCTAAATTCTCCAGTTCCTTTTACATCTATTAGCTGGCACTCTGCTGTAAAGAATCATTGTTTTCTCTCTTTCTCTCCTTTTGATTACCATGAGTTCATGGATTGTTATTTATACAATAATTTACAATCAAGTACAGCATCATTTTGATGCTCAAGTTGTCCCAAATTTGGCCAATGTCCTTTAGACATACCCCATCATTATTTGAGCACTGCCTTGCTTTCTGGTACAATGAAATGTTCCAGGCTCACCTTGTACTTTCTCCACCCCAAATTGGGTTTATTCTAGTGAAGAAGGCTATTTAGAAACCAAGATCTGGACCTTAGGTATGCTCAGTGCACAACGGTCTCTCAATGAACAGTCTTTTAAATTAGGGTGTAATTCACATACCATAAAATTCACCCTTAAAAGTAAACAATTCAAAATGCAAATCGAAACCACAATGAGGGGATGCCTGGGTGGCTCAGTCGGTTAAGCTTCTGCCTTCAGCTCAGGTGATGATCTCAGGGTCCTGGGATCGATCCCCCCGTCGGGCTCCCGGCTCAGTGGCGAGTCTGCTTCACCCTCAGCCTCTGTGATTGCTTTCGCTCTCTCTCAAATAAATAAGTAAAATCTTACAAAAAAAAAAAAAATCAAGGAAGCAAGCAAGAACAATGAGTGCTCTCTTCAGCAGCCTATATAATGAAATTGGAATAATACAGAGAAGGTTAGTATGACCTCTGGACCAGGATGACATACAAATTTGTGAAGTGTAAAAAAAAAAAATCCGTAAGGAGATACCATGTCACAACCATTAAGATGGCTCTCATAAGAAAAATAATTTAGGGGCCCCTGGGTCGCTCAGAGGGTTAGGTCTCTGCCTTCGGCTCAGGTCATGGTCCCAGGGTCCTGGGATCGAGTCCCACATCGGGCTCTGTGCTCAACGGAAGCTTGCTTCTTCCTCTCCCTCTGCCTGCCATTTCCTCTGTTTGTGCTCTCTCTCTGTCAAATAAATAAATAAAATCTTTAAAAAAAAAGAAAAGAAAAATAATTTAAACAGAGAATAACAAACGTAGGTAAGGATGTGGAAAAACTAGAATCTTATGCACTGCCGGTGGGAAAGTAAAATGGTATAGCCGCTATGGAAAACAGCATGGCAGTTCCTCAAAAACTCAAAATAAAATTTCCATATGACCCAGCAATTCCATTCTTAGGTATATACCCCAAAGCACAGAAAGCAGGGTCTCAAAAAAAAGGTATTTGAACACCCATGTTCAGAGCAGCATAATTCACAATAGCCTAAGAAGAAACCTAAGCGTTTGTCAATAAGTGAATGGCTAAACATGTGAGATAAATACATATACTATAATATATATGGAGAGAGTATCTATATACTGTTGTCTTCCTGGAAAAGGAAGGAACTTTTGCACATGCTCCAGCATAGATGAAACTTGAAGACATTATGCTCAGTGAAATAAAAGAGTCACAAAAAGATAAAAACAGTATAAGTCCATTTCCATGAAGAGCCTAGAGAAGTCAAATTCAGAACTGGGAGAGGAGGGAATGGACAGTTATTATTTAATGGGACATGGAGTTTTGGTTTTGCAAAATGAAAAGAGTTCTGAAAAACGGGTGGTAGTGATGGTTGGTCAGCAATGTAAATTGTACTTAACACCACTGAACCACACTCTCAAATATTCTTAAAATGATAAATTTTATGTTATGTATATTTTACCACAAGGTTTTAAAATTCAATGATTTTTTTAGTGTGTTCAGAGCCATCCAGCCATCACCACTTCTAATTCTGGAACATTCTTTTTTTTTTTTTTTTTTAGATTTTATTTATATATTTGACAGCGAAAGACACAGTGAGAGAGGGAACACAAGCAGGGGGAGTGGTAGAGAGAAAAGCAGGCTTCCAGCAGAGCGGGGAGGCCGACGTGGGACTCGATCCTAGGATCCTGGGATCATGATCCAAGCTGAAGACAGATGCCCAGGCGCCCTAAACCTGGAACATTCTTATCACTCCCACGAGAAACCTAGTGTTAGGAATTACTAGCAATTACTGCCAGCAATCACTTCCCAGTAATTTGGGCCCCAAATCTACTTTCTATCTATCTATAGTGTGTGTTTTCTGGACATTTTATATGAATGGAATCATAAAGTATGTGGCCTTTGTGTCTGTCACTTAGCATAATATTTTCAAAGTTCATTCAAGTTGTAATATGCATGAATATTTCATTTCTTTTCATGGCCAAATAATATTCCATTGTACAGATATGTTGTATTTGTTTATTCATTGGTTAGTTGGTGGATGTTTGGATTGTTCCAATTTTGGGCTTCTAAGAATAATGTGCCATGAACATTAATGTACAAGTTTTTGTGTGAGCATATTTTTCTCGGATATATACCCAGGAGGGTGTTTGCTGGGTTATATAGTCTCTCAATGCTTAACTTTTTTTTAAAGGTTTTAATTTTTATTTTTAAGTAATTGCTATACCCAAAGTGGGACTTGAACCTATAATCCTGAGATCAAGAGTCATGTGCTCTACTGACTGAACCAGCCAGATCCCCTTTAATAAAAGAAAAATTTTAAAAATTGGGTTTTTTTTTTAGTAACATGCTTAACTTTTTGAGGAACTGTCAGACTGTTTTCCCCAGCAGCTGCAGTATTTTACATTAGTAACAGTGTATGAGGGTTTCCGATAGTTTTTTTTGAGTAGTTGTATTAAAGTAATTGTCTAATTTTTCTAAAAAAACCGACCTATACATTGGCTTAAATCATACAGCTCTGTGCTTTGTTTTGCTTTGCAAATTTGTAATCAAATAAGCTGGACATGCCTCACATGAGGGGGAAAATGAGCTATTTTAATAATAAAATATATACTACCACCTCTGGTATCTCTAATCCAGAATATTTTTCCATTCCACCCTAACACCTGTGGCCTCCTGACTACTTGCCGGACCCGGACAGCTAAGCAGGAGAATGAGTCTCGGACTTGGCCAGTCTCGGACTTGGCCAGTCCTGCTGGAATGCCCTCAGCTTCCCGTCCACCCCTTTTCCGCAATGCAGAGCAGCCGCGAACTACATTTCCCAGAATGCCCCCACATGGAGGTTGGAGTTCGCAAGAAAGGAATTCGGGGGAAATTTGGAAGGTAGACGCGAAAGCGACTCTGTTATTCTCCAGAGGTGGTGACAGCCGGATGCCGAGCGGATCTGAGAGTTGCCCAGAATGCCCGATAGGTTCTCCGGAGCCCCCGCTTCAGGCTGAGACCGCCGGCGTCCACCTGTGCCTTCGCAGCGGCTGCCCCAGCTCCGCTCCCTGCCTGCTGGTCCAACAGCCGTGTAAGCCCCTTCTGCTGTGTTAGACCCCAGACCCCGAAGACGTAGAGTGGCTTGTGGTTTCCTGAGCAAACCCTGAATAATACATGTGTATATGGGGCAGAGGTACCATTTAACATTTAATGTGTTTAAAATACAATGGGGGGCGGGCGGGAAATGTGTGATGTGTCTAGAGACTTGTTTTTGCACCTATGGGAAATTTCTGTTTCGGAGACAAACCGGAGCCAGCCTTGCTAGTCTTAATTTTCATGAGCATTAAACAACAAAAAAAAAAAAAAAAAAAAAAAAAAACAAAAAACCAAACACAAAACATTAAAAAAGTGTCGTTAAAAACTCATTGTAAGCTCCATTTAATGGTAGAATAATAATCCATCAAACAGATACCCTACGATTTAATGAACTAGTCCCATAATGTTGCCATTTAGGCTATTGTTTAAAATTGTTTTGGCAATTATGAATAATCCGGAAAAGAGCGACTCTTATGATTACTTTCTTTAGACAGATTCCAAAAAGTAATTATTTCTGGTTCAAAGAATATAAACATATTAAAGATTATGAATACACACTGCTAGATTGGTTTTCAGAAATGTAGCAATTTAGACTCCTACAAGTAGTGACCAAGAATTTGTCTTGCCTGTCGGGACAGCCTATGACTGCCATCAAATACTAGAATGTAACAGTAATGTTTGCTAATTTGCTAAGTAAAATTTCAGGTTTAATTTTTATTCACTTGTTGATTAGCCAAGACTGTTCTCTCTCTCTTCCTTCCTTTCCTAGCTTCCGTCCCTCCCCTCCCCCTTCCTCTCTGTCTCCCTTTCCCCTTTCTTCTTCTCCCTCTCCCTCCCTACTCTTCTTCCCTCCCTTCTCCTCTCTTCTTTCCTCTCCCCTTTTTCGTTCCTTTTTTTCTTTCTCTCATTCTTTTCTTCTATTCTTCTTTTCTAGAATTCACATGCTTTGCCTATAAATCTGTCAAGTACCATGTTTTTATAAATTCTCCCAACTTCCTGTTGCATTTAGTTTTGTTTGCATATCATTTTATTATGTATCTTAATAGTTTTAATGTAGCAAAAATCTGTTCCTTTAGAATTCCTAACATTGCTTTCAATATTAAATAGTTTATTTGCCATTTGGAAATAAGGTCAATACTACCCTCTTTTTTCTGTTATTTATGGCTTGATTTAAAATTATGGCTTGATTTTATACATTACCTCTTTGACTTGCCTGAACTTTTTTGGGGGGTGGGGGTGGGGGAGCATATATTAAGAAAAGCAGATCTAAGTTAGTATTTCCCTGAAGAAACTAGTTGCTTGAGCACCCTTGGGACAATCCTACCTTTATGTAATCATATTTTTAGATTCTAAATGTAGCTCTTTTAAAGAATTAAGACATGCATGCTGAAGACAGTTCAAACACATCAGAAATACATAATGTGGAAAATTAAAGCATCCCATCCCTTAAAGGTAACCACTGCTGATTTAGTGAATTTTTAAAAATGTAGCTTTTTTATTTTATTTCTTTTTCAAAGATTTATTTATCATTTGAGAGAGAGAGAGAGAGAGAGAGAGAGAGCATGTATGTGCTTGCATGTCCAAGCATGGCAGAGAGGGGCAGAGGGAGAGAATCTCAAGCAGACTCCTCATTGAGAGCTAAGCTTGGAGCCCCACACTGGGCTGGTTCCTAGGACCCTGAGATCATGACTTGAGCTGGAATCAAGAGTCCCCCACTTAACTGACTGAGCCACCCAGGCACCCATAAAATTTAGATTTTTAAATTGAGGTATAGTGTACAAAAGTAATATGCATAGATTTTAAATGTACAGTTTGATGAGTTTTGACAAATATATATGCCCATATAACCATCAGCCAATCTAGCTACAAAACATTTCTGCTCCCAAAAAGTTCTCTCTTGCCCCTTCCCATTCAAGCCCCATTTCAAACTATTCCCAAAGCAACAACTCTTCCAATTTCAATCTCTTTGGTCTTGTTTTGACTGTTCTTAAACTTCATATAAATGGAATCCTAAGTATAAACTCATTTATGTCTGGCTTCTTTCACTCAACATAATTCTTTTGAGAGTCATCAATGTTATTCTGTGTATTAGCACTTCTGTTTATTGCTGAATAGTTTTCCAATGCATGAATGAATCACAGTTTATTTACCCATTAAAACTTACTGATGGACATAAGAGTTCCTTCCACTTTGAGACTATGTCAAATAAATCTGCTAAGAACATTCTAGTATAAGACTTTCTGTCAGCATTTCCAGAGTGGAATTACTGGGGCATAGGGTAGGTGTAACTTTAATTTTATGAGAAAGGGACATACGGTTTTTTAAAGTGGTTGTACCATTTAACCATCCACTGCTAGTGTAGAACAGCTGCTTCCCATTCTCACCAAAACTTTATATTATCTTTTGTGTGTAATCGTATTTTTAATATATTTTG